TGTAAGCCTAACCACACTCCACAGACCTGTGACCCAGATTTGTTTCTTAAATGTACAGTACATCATCGTATATTTTAGGCAGGATGTGCCTGCAGGCTGGCAGGAAACATCCAGAGGATGTTTGCCAGACGTCTTAATAATCAGTTAGGAACAATTAAGGACTTTTATAAAGCGGATCAGTACTTCACTTATTGGTGAGTACAAACAAAACACAGTCGCATTTACGCTATGAACCTGTCGATTTTTTCCCCTAGAGTTTTTTCGTAAATTTTTTCGGAAAAATTTCTTTTTACATTTCTAGTTTATTTTTTCCCCTCTATTTCTCGTATACGAACTTACATGTTAACCGACGGGTCTCGTCCCCAAGGGGTTCGGAAACCAAGTGGTGCTCTGTATATATAAATGTATGTCGTACCTAGTAGCCAGAACGCACTTCTCTGCCTACTATGCAAGGCCCGATTTGCCTAATAAGCCAAGTTTTCATGAATTAATTGTTTTTCGACTACCTAACCTAACCTAACCTTACTTTTTTGGCTACCTAACCTAACCTAACCTATAAAGATAGGTTAAGTTAGGTTAGGTAGGGTTGGTTAGGTTCGGTCATATATCTATGTTAATTTTAACTCCAATTAAAAAACATTGACCTCATACATAATGAAATGGGTAGCTTTATCATTTCATAAGAAAAAAATTAGAGAAAATATATTAATTCAGGAAAACTTGGCTTATTAGGCAAATCGGGCCTTGCATAGTAGGCTGAGAAGTGCGTTCTGGCTACTAGGTACGACATATATATATATATATATATATATATATATATATATATATATATATATATATATATATATATATATACAGTATATATTTTTATATTTTCTAGGTCTCTGTACTTATTGATTTTCTGGGTCTCCCTGAAGGTGGCTGCCCCACCTCCCTCCGCTGAGCTGTAACGTAGATAGGTATCAGCCAATGTGGAAGCACATGTGTAATCCCATACGACCTGTTTACCTTCCCTCCATGACTGCAGGGTGACTCCATCTGGGCGTTTTTGGCTGTTGTCAGGTCTGCACAACTGAAGTTCCCTTTGTGGTGGACATATATATACTGTACTGTATACATAAATAAATAAATAAAAATTACTCAGTTTCAGTGAGTTTGCCCACATAACTATTTCCTGAACAATATATTCTACGAACAGCTCATCGAGTTAGTTTAGTTCCTTTATTATACACCTTGTGGGCAGTAGTGGAAAGGATTACAGAGGCACATAATGGGCTCAGGGACTGAGCCCCAAAATGCATTTAGCTAAGCAAGTTACAAAACTCAGTATTCAATAAGTTGTCACATCATAAATGGGTTCGAGATCAACCACAAGTACAGTTTCTAAATTAAGCAACTGACATATGTGGAGAGTTAGTGTCACAATTTATATGTTTGTCCTGCACACTGCCCCCCCCCCCCATCCAGTGGGCAGCGGTGGATAGGTTACAATCACTTAGTGACTACCTTCAGTTTGCAAACTGGGGATATTTGGCTAAAATTTCTGGTAGCAGATCATTTTGAATGAAATACTTACACATTGCTGGAACATTGGTTATAGAATTGTCCCTGAAGTCACGTATCTTTTTCGCACTCCATCACATAGTGATGGAGGGTGTGCAAATAATTTTGTAGACACAGTTTACATTTGGTCTGGTTTACATCAGCAGATAATGAGAATTCCCAGAGATACTTGTAACCGAGTCTAAGTCGAGCACTAGTAACATCTAGAAGTCTGCTGATTTTATTGGATGAACCATAGATGTGTGGCTCCTCTTGCATGATAGTATGATGATAGATGGAATTACTGGTGTCAATTTATATATACTATAAATATACCTAATACCTAATAAATTCCCTGTAACCTACCTTACCCCTCTGTTGTCAACCCATGTATGTTTTTTTTTTTTTTTTTTTTTTTTTTTTTTTTTTTCAAATCAACGCTGTTTGAATGTAATTTTCTGTAATAATTTGTAATTGTATTTGTGCTGCTTTTTCAACAATGTTCCCCCCTCTTTTACCTCTATTTTTATTTGTACTCAACACATCTTATTCTTTTTACCCATTAGTTTTAAGCTTTAGTCATTAATGTTTTTCCTGCCCGAAACGCTTTGCGTAATAGTGGCTTTAGGCATTGTATGTACTAGCTCTATCTATAAAGCCAACAAACTTTGTAAAATCTCTTTATGTATGTACCTTACCTAAATAAAAATTATTATTATTATTATTATTATTATTATAATTTCACTTTGCCTCAGATCTACAAGATTTAGTTGAAGTTCTTGGTGTACTGCTGCTCTGAGATTGCTCATTGACAATCCAAGGTTACATTCAACGTCTCCTTTAAAGGCTCATCGACTGTAGTAAAATACTCCATTTCGTTCTTGTACTCACCACTACATGGGGAAAATGTGTATAACTCCAACTTCTGTATCATAACTGGTGTTCTCTGGCTGAGGTAACACCAACACTATGGCAACAAATCCTAGTACCAATAAAATACCAATAACTAGGAGAGAAGCACATCTACTATGCTCACTATGGGCTTGAACAGCTGAAGATGAGAGCATATATGTTGAAGATGACGGCATTTCGTCTCTGAATTTTCCCCATGCGATATCTCATGGCTGGGTGCGCAGCTAATGCTGCAAGGCTATGCCTAATAACACTATGTACACCCACTACAGTTAACCACGGTACAGTATTCTTAAAACTATTATCACATTCCGTCTCACTAAATCCTCTTCCACATGTTCCTGGACCAAAGGAACAGCATGTTGCACAGACACACATGGCCTGTCTCGTAATTACCTGTGCACTTACAGGATGAGAGCTACGCTCGTGGTGCCCCGTCTTGATAGCACTCTTTGTCATATAAAGCTTTGAATTTGCTGATGGTTTTGGCCTCCACCACCTTCTCACCTAACTTGTTCCAACTGTCTACCACTGTGTTTGTGAAAGTGAATTTTCTTATATTTCTTTGGCATCTTTGTTTACTTAGTTTAAATCTATGACCACTTGTTCTTGAAGTTCCAGGTCTCAGGAAATCTTCCCTTTCAACTTTTTTTATTCCTGTTATTATTTTGAATGTAACGATCATATTGCCTCTTTTTCTTCTATCTACTAGTTTTGGCATATTTAATGCCTTTCACCTCTCCTCATAGCTCTTGTCCTTCATTTCTGGGAGCCACTTAATGGCATGTCTTTGCACCTTTTCCAGTTTGTTGATGTGCTTCTTAAGATATGGGCACCATACAACTGCTGCATATTCCAGCTTTGATCTAACAAAAGTCATGAACAATTTCTTTCATTTCTTTCAAAAGCAATTCTGAAGTTAGAAACTGTATCATAGGCCCCTCGCACAATGTTCTTTATGTGATCATTAGATGATAGTTTTCTATCAAGAACCACCCATCGAGTCAGGCCCCATAGAGGGCTGACAGCTGAGTGAACAGCGCTTTGGATTCGTAGACCTGAGGTTCCGGGTTTGATCCCCGGTGGAGGCAGAAACAAATGGGCAGAGTTTTATTCACCCTGATGCCCCTGTTCATCTAGCAGTAAACAGGTACCTGGGAGTTAGACAGCTGCTACGGGCTGCTTCCTGGGGGTGTGTAACAAAAAGGAGGCCTGGTCGAGGACCAGGCCTTGTGGACGCTACGCCCCAAAATCATAACTTCAGGATAACCCCTAGATCTCTTTCTTTATCAGACTTCTTTAAAGATTTCTCACATAATTTATAGATTGTGTGGGGTCTATGTTCTCCTATTCCACATTCCATAATATGGCACATGTTTACATTAAATTCCATATGCCAAGTGGTGCTCCATCTACTTATTTTGTCCAGGTCTTCTTGAAGGGCATTACAATCATCTAAGTTACTTATCTTCCCTTTATCTTGTCATCATCAGCAAACATGGTCATATAATTCTATATTTCATCTGGTAGATCGTTTATGTAGACAATGAACATTACTGGTACAACAACTGAACCCTGTGGTACTCCACTTGTGACATTTCGACAGTCCAATACATTTCCTCTGCTTACTGCCCCCATTTTTCTATCAGAAAATTTTTCATCCATTTTAGAAGCTTACCTGTCACCCCTCCAATATGTTCCAGTCTCCAGAAAAAACTCTTATGTGGAACTGTGTCAAAAGTCTTTTTTTAGGTCCAGATAGATGCAGTCAACCCAACCATCTCTTTCCTGTAAAATCTCTGTGGCTCGATCATAGAAACTGAGTAAATTCGTTACACAGGATCTTCCAGATCAAAAACCATACTGACGGTCTGATATTACAGTATATCTTTTCTCCAGGTGTTCTACCCATTTAGTTATAATTATTATTTCCAATATTTTGACTATTACACTTGTCAACGATACAGGTCTATAATTGAGGGGGTCTTCCCTGCCACAGGTGGTGATGTGAGGCCGTAGCAGGAGAGGTGGTGATGTAGGCCTGGGCACAAACACATGTGCATCACTGTCACTATCACTTTCACTTGAGCCCTAAGCATAATCACTCAGACCCAGTCAGAGTCATCAGTGTCACTTTCCTCCCTTGTTATAAACAGTTTATCCTGATTTCCTTCATCAGTCAGTGATTGGTTGGAGTGATGCACATTGTAGTGTTGTGAGGCAGAGTGGCATGCATAAGCCATGGAAGCTGGTTAAGAACTTTGGCCTTCCCACCTATGTGGTCAATGCTGGACTTTCTTCAAGATGCCAGCTGTTTTCTATTGCCCTTGGTGAGCATCCGGGTGCCCCTTTAGTGTGTGGGGCTTAAATCTTACGCAGTACTTTAAATCATCCCTGTATGACTTGCACACTGGAAGGGTTAATGTGATAACAAAACACAGTTATCTATGTCTAAATATTTTACATGGAAATTCTACTCTACACAGGAAACTGATTATCAGTCTCTGGAACACTGTTATCATAAATCTTAAAAGAAAAATACTAACCGTATGTGTCTTCTTTCCTGGGCCAACGATTTCAAATGCTGCATCTCTTTTTCGCTGGTCTCGAATGTCTTCACCAGTTGCTGGTCTTGCTGAGTATCCTGTTAGATCAATTGTCTGAAAGAAATTGTTTAAGCTATAACATATATAAAAAAGGAAAGTAAATACAGCACATCATACCCACATAAAATGCATGAGCAATACTCTATTTGTTTGAATTTTGTAAAGTAAGCTAAAACATACTGTATATACAAATTATGCCAATGGTACAATAAATTACACTGCATTGGGCAATTTGTGCCTAAACGTGTAAAATTTATCATTTAAACAATTTGGCAGGGCGTATTCCAGGGAAAATTAGGATTAGCCCTTAAAATGTGCAACACATCAATAGCTAGTGTGAGTAACTGTTGTGGAATTGTGCACCACAACTATTTATGTGTTGGAGTGCCACACGAGATTTAAAAGTCTCGCAGCTACACGGGGTTCACATCAGCTTCCTCACGGCTCTTGTCAATAGACGGCATTAAAAAAAACATGGGCAACATTCTCGGGTGTGAGAACCTCAGTACTGAGTGAGCAACCAAGACTGGTGCACACAGCATGAGCTAACATCACTTCTGATCAGCTTGTAACCACAGCATCGCCTAAAAATGTCACAATATATATGTAACTGGTATTATTTAGTGATGATTGTATTAGAGTAGACCCCTGATTGTGATAAAAATGACCAGGATTCTGATTATTATGGCAGGATTATTGTGATAACTAGCACGTGCGTAATATTTTGGGAGGAGTAATGCTGAGGGAGGGAGGTAGTGTCGTCTACTGACTCTGTGTGGCCACCTGTTATTGTCTAGAATCACCATATTTTTTATTTTATTAATTTCTTGCATCTGGGTGTGTTGCAGGCTATAATCACAAGAGCATCCCAGAGATTAAGGACCTGCCCAAAATGCTAGGTGTGCTAGTGGCTTTACAAGAATGTAAGAACTCTTGTATAAATAAATAAATAAATAAATAAATAAATAAATAAATAAATAAATAAATAAATAAAAAGTGTGGGATATTCAAAAGGCACTAAAATCTTACATAACAAAATTTTCTATTTTGTTAAATTTCTTAAATGACATGAAGGATGCCAATACGAGAACAAAAGCGCATAAGGTGAACAATATCAAAGGTATCCGATTCACCAAAGATTCTATCGAGGGACAGTCAGGAAGCAAGACACACGCACATACTTGAAGTCAGGACATTCAACAAGGATATGCATGACCGTAAGAGACACAATAAGGAGCAGGGCGGAGTTCAATGCCAGAGAGTTAAACAGGTATGGCCAATACGTAACTTCACCAGAGCAGTTTCTCATCGCTGGTTAGGAGGAGGGCCATGGAGACACGCTACCCTTAAGAGCATGCAGCTTGTTACCAGTAACAGAAGACCAGCGATCCTGCTAACAAGCACGGATTGAGGAATGAATAACTGGGTAGAAGTCAAAATAAGGAACACCTTTGTGGGAAATGGGACAAGTGCGAATAGCCTCCTTAGCGGCAGCATCCGCATGCTCATTTAAAGACACACCAATAAGCCTGGGGAACCCAGCAAAACTTGATTCTTTTGCTGGGTTAAGAAACAGCCTGCTGGAGATAAGAAACAGCCAATGTTGAATTTCAACTACCAGAGAATGGACAGGATTAAAGGACTCCAGAGCCATGATGGCACTGCAAGAGTCAACTACAACAATAAAGGAAGATTGACAGCGAGAAAGCAGTTGACGAAGAGCATGCAAAATTGCATAAAGTTCTGCCATGAAGATGCCAGTCTCTGGGGGCAGGCGACACATATGTGTACTGTACATTTTTGACACCCAGTGATGTACTCCACTGGTTCAACCTTTTCATCCACTCTTCACATTTCAAATTCAAATTCAAATTCAAATGTTTATTCAGGTAAAGTACATACATTTTTGACACACATTTACTGCCATTTATATGTTGCAGTACCAGGCTTGGTGTCTTCTTTTGATAATTACTTACTTACCGCGAGGACCTCACAAACAAGGAACAGCACCATATACAGAGGAAGACGGTAGTGATGGTGTGCTCAGCAGAGACCGGAAGGAACAGGGACAGACCATCTGCAAGGACGTTGGACACTCCCTGGACATAAATGGCATGGCGAACCAAACCTCAAGAACTGAACATGTAGTGTTCAGCTCCAAAAAGGCAGGGACTAAAGCAAACCCCCAGATGAAACAATAAAGCACGAGGAAACACTGAATGGAGCTGGAGCACAGAGCCCAGAGGTATCTGAACTCTCTACATTGCATGGCATATGGCCATAAACTTCCAAACAATACTGTGAGCCTGACGAAGGAGAGGAGACCAACGACCCTGGCCAACTTGGTGAGTGCTAGTCGCAAAGTCCCAACCTAGATCTGAAGTGTCTGTGCATATGTCAAGCGAGGGTGGAAGAAGGTGCCTGAAAAGCCTAAAGAGGAAGCGGGCGATGCAGCAGCCGGCACAGGGTCAATGGAGTTCACACCTAATGGTCGCAACAGCAGTAAAAGGGGTGGCCCTGAAGAAACCAAAACACCTGCAGAAGCAAAATCTTGCCCAGAAAAAAACATGAGGCAAGCAAAGCTCAGACTCCTGCACAATCACTCAAGCAATGACCGAGTCACTGGAGGTCAGCTTAACACACAGATGGTTGTCATTCTCTGTGTCCTGCAGCCTGGTCAAAGCCACAGGAAGCAGGGAAAGCAAAGCTGACCAAGAGTCCAAAACCAGGACCAACCAAATTCGAACCTGGGACTGAACTAAGAGGGACCTCTGTTAGTTCACCAGGGACCCAAACCCAGCGAGTTGAGAAACAACCAGATCCCTGGCTAGCAGACACACAGACAGATTGGATGCCCACACCAACCAGTTATAGAGGTAGGCCAAAATTGGGACTCCCAGCAAATGAAGACAAGCCACAAAGACTTGAGCAAAGTGTGTGAATATGCATGGAGCAGAATATAGCTTGAACAGGAGGATCTGAAAGTGGTAAGCTGCCACCCTCCAGAGCAAAGCTTAACCATTCTCTGAACCTCGGATGCATAGGAACATGCCAGTACACATCCCAGACATCCACAGAATCATCCACACATGCAACCGCGAGAACAAGACAGGCCTGGGTCAAGGTGGTCATCTGAAAAGAGGAGCAAGGAATGAACCAATTCAACTGCAAAAGATCGAGGATGAACTGAAGATTTAGAGACCCATTTCAGGACCAGGAAGAGGAAGGAAACCCACTGAAGGGATGAAGTCATCTTGACCATGCCCAAAGCCACCCATTTCAAAATAACCTGATGCAGGTGAGGAGAGGAAGCCTGCCCAGAAAGGCACGAACCCCCAAAAGGAGGAGGAACTAACCAATCCTAACTGCAGGCAGTGGGAAACGACTTGAAAAGCTCATGAATTGTGTGACCAGAAGTCAGCAAATTGAGCAAGGTGGCCCCTCCCTCCCATGCCTCGTTAAATGGGCAAACTGAAAAAGAGCTGACTGGAACCCTACGAGACCGCATTCTGAAAGGAGCGAGAACAATGCTGATCAAACTGAGAAGGACCGGCCATTGGAAGTGCATGCGATCTGGCATCTGACTTCAATGATGGTGTTACGAACCCGGATCCAGCATCCGAGCACGGAGTAGTAACGACTACGCCATCTGTGGGTCAGCTCCCGAAACCCCCGCCAAACGAACGACGACACCGGATGAGGACGGCGAATATCGGCCTCAAGGGCCAGTTTCCAGTCCTGTGCAGCTCACAACACAGCCGCTCCTGACCTCTGGTGAGGTGGTGCTCCGACGACAGCGCCATCTATGGACTGGATACGTCAGGTGTTTGTGCCCGAGCCCGTAAGTGAGGTGTATTAGTGTCCCGGTTATTGATGACGTGTCTGCTTACAGAGCCGACCTGGGACCACTGTGAGGGAAGTGGAGTCAGTCTACCCGAGGCAGCCAGTCTCCATACCCTGAACCTTGCTGCAGCTGTTGTGACGTCGTCCCCCCCGGAAGAACACTGTGGTGTGTTAGCCTGCCAGTGGAGTGGCAGTAAAAGGATTTACCCGGGACCGACTGTTGGAGACGATCATCCACTGGGGTACTGAAGACAGGAGAGTGACTTGTGGTGTCACACGAAGCTCCTGTCTAGGGCGTTCCCCTTTTATCGTCCGTGGAGTGGCCGTACCAGCCTTGTGGGCTCAGAACCTGCCAGCAGACCAGCTGGACGTGTGGTTGACGGCCTCCACGGCGGTGCCCCCAGTGGACCCGTGTTTTGGCTGACTTGTGGCCAGGGTAGGCTCAACTTCTTTGGAGAATTTATTGTGAGGCCACGAAGAGAGCACCAAGGATTTGGCACCAGGAGTTGTGGCACCAGGGTCTTCAGCAGAAGACATCGATTAAGGATTAATCCCCTTGTAAAGTGTTAATACCCCCCTCCCCCTTGTGCACTCATTTATATGTATATTTAATCGGTGATGGTGATAAGTATAATATTAAGTTCTTAACTTTCTTTCCCTACTCCCTTTAAGTTACTTACGTCACGGATCTCATCCCTTGATAGCCACTACTGGCTTGGGAACGGATACATTATATCTTCCTCTAACAACATCAGAGTAAGGACCCCGTTGCGTCCCGAGAGGGCCGTAACAGATGGTCTACACCAACCAACAGAAGATGAAACGCCAGTCCTACCTGACCACCTTGAAAACTGAGTACGAGAACCCCAAATAGAGAGGATCCAAAATGGGCCAACTAGCAATGGCTGTTGAGCACAAGAACCGAGTGACCAAGTCCTCAGGAAAGAGGAGCGAAGAAATGGGAGAGGCTGCCTGAAGAGCAAGAGTCTACGTCAAGTGTAGAGACTAGGCCAACACAGCCCGTTGATATGCGAGTCGGGTGACAAAGAATGTGGCCATCGCTCAAAGTGATCCAAGACGCACACGGTGGAACCCATATACTCATGGGCACAAAGGTCGTGTGCCATCAATGTTGCTGACAACAGGAAAACCTGAGCATGGAGCTGCACAAGACCAACATCCTGAGGAAGAGCGGGTGCAAACAGGCAGTTATTGAGAGACTCAAAAGAAACACCTGAATATGGTTGACACCTCACGTAATTCCAGCATGCGGGTATGACAAAATCACGCTAAGCCTCAATAAAAAACAAAGGAGTGTCTGCTAGCCAAAAAGGCTCCAGAACCTCATAACACATCCAAAGCTGGAAAGAAAACTCAAACTCAAAAGAGGAAGGGTCCATCAGGGAGTTGTAATCCGGGTCTTGCAGGAGGTACTGAAAAACGGTCTCCTGAGACACTGCAGGACTCGAGAGGATGGACACCTCTAGAAGGATGAATTCAACTAGCTCAAAAGCAAATCATATTCATACAGAGAGAGAAGATACAAAAGTACCCTCCCTGTGTAAAAAAAGACCCTCCTCGGAGGGAACCAAGAGCCACATAAAGTTAAAAGGGACCCAGGGGGCCCATATTCACCCCCACCCCCCCTCAATAGCCCAGAAGCCGCAGCAGAGGGCCCTGGGCCAGCGTCCTCACCCATTGCCTGAGATAAGAAGGTGGTGTCTAAGGGAAATACTTCAAAGGAAGAAGGGGCTGGCTGAAAGGAAGATCCAGAAGCCTTGGCAGGACTAGCAGGCTCAAATGCATCCACACTTGATTTGGAAGGGGCAAACACCGGAACTGACTGCCATATCCTGAGCTAAACCCTGCCCCAATCCCGAAACCCTCAGATACTTCGGAGCTGAAAGCAGAGGTGGGGAGGATCATAGGAAGAGCAAACCATACCCAAAAGGGAAGGAAGAGGAGGTACAGACAGAACCAAGGTAGAGTTTACCAATGATCTCTAAACACTATATGGGGCTCACACAACATAGACTGTTGCAACCTAGCAAACCTAGAATGCAAGGCAGTCATTACCTGATAAGCCCTAGCCACATTGGGAGGATAGGAGGAGATATCCATGGGACCACTGAACCTGTAGGGGATTGCCAGAATCTGAAGGACTTAATCAAGCAGAAAACCCCAGGCACTGGGATGCTACATTGACCCTTTATTTGAAAGAAGTTGTGCAAATCTATACAGTAATGTATAGATTTGCATCGACTTAATATAGACATAGTAGGCCCACATAGCAGCTGTCCATATGGCTGTGAATGCCGACCTTGGCACGCTATAATGTAGCACGTAAATACTCAGTGTGCCCCAAGCCACCCTGTCACTCCTAACCCGAGTAAAAGCAGGAAAATCTGATGATACCTGACCCACCCTGGGTGAGGGCCACCACACGCGAGGAGAACCCTTAAGGGAACAATTCCTGAACACTCTAGTGAAGAGAAACCTGAAGCACAAGGGCTGCACTAGGAAGCGGAAAGGAAAGATAACCCTGTGCACATGCAGCTCCAAGCACACTAGATGTCCTGGAATCATGCAACACTTCACAGTGTACAGGAATGCTCATGAAGACAAAAAACCACCACTTAGCTGTAACAGCAAAATACTGGAGCCTACAAGCAGCAGAAAAGTGACCCAACATACTGCACACATCAGCAAAGAACTGAGTGGAGGAGCTGGCTGACAATGAGCTGCTTCTCCCCTCCTTCAAAACGAGTGGGGAAGGTGAGGCGAATTAGTTGGCTCGTTCAGAATACAAATATGCGAAATGTGAGTTAAAAGAGATTTCGATTGTTTACATTGTTGGGAGTTCTTTTTGCGGTTCTCAAGGCTGCAGTTTCGAGTGAAACCAGCAGTGGTTTGTTTTGTTTCACTGACTTTCTGGGTGCCTTCCCAGTGGTGGCATAAATAAATACTGTACATAATACATAATAATTAATAATAAATAAATGTCACCACTTTGTGAGAGGGAAGGAGAGGGGAGGGGGGCAGGTTCTGGCATTAGTCCCCAATAGGTCAATAGAAGCCACAACTATTAGGTCGCATATGCCGATACGATCTAATAGTTGGTACACTATCAGTGATATTAGCTTCAAGAAGCCACAAGGAGACTTTCATCATTGTGAAAGTTAATGTATAAAGTTTTTCTAAATTGATTAATCAAGTCATATATGTTGTCTTATTTCTTGTTTATTATTAAGTGTGTACCTCATTAAACTTTTAAATTTTACTGATTAATTGAATGTTATGCCTGAAACATTTAGTATTCTAGTGGCCTAATTACAATGCACATTTGTAAATTCTTGCTGTTATTACTAATGTTGTAAACTATTTCTGTATTTTGCTAAAACTACAGATTCTATAATACAGTAGTCTGAATGTCATCATTAGGTATGACCTAAATATTGTATATAATTTGTTACATTTTTGTTAACATCTCACATGTGTTAGCTTACTTCTCATTTAGTACTGTTTACGCCATTACTGTATACCGTATCTATAAATAATTTATATCTGAATTATCCTAAGTTTGCCAGAAATGCGTTGTATAGTAGTGGCTTCATTTAATGTGCAATTATTATTATAAAAGAGACATAGCAAAATACTGAACTCTTAACATAAAGAATTAAGAATTAAGAATTCTTAATTTGCATTCCATTGATTATTGTAAATTATTTTAACTTCAATAATTTTTGTTTATGATACCTTGCGTTGCCTTTCATCTGCCTCCTTGAGATAGAGGTAGAGCATCCCATTGGCTGCCACACAATGGTAGCTCTTCACATTCCTTAGGAGACCTTTGGTTTTCTTTATGAGCACCCCATGTCTATCACAGGTGGCTGGAAAAGACAAAGCTTCATTAATGGCTAACATAATATTTGCTTTCTGATAACAAAAAATGGATTTGTTGACAAATCCAATATACACACATCCTATACCTGCAAACCCTGAAAAGGCATCAACTTGGATGTCTGTTAATTAACCAAAAAGCCGAAGCAGGCTGACTGAGATCCCTGGCCACCAGATAAGTTGGAAGACTGTTGGCCCAAAGTAGCAAGTCGCTGAGGCTGGCCAAAACACTTATACAGTCGTCAGAGAACCATATGAGGCAGTCTGGGGAAAATCTGGGTGTCAGGGAAAGACTAAATGTCAGAGCCTGAAAGTGGTACAAGAGGCACCCTTCACACTAAAATCCAAGCAAGCCTTGAACTCACAATCGACTTGATAATGGTCCAGGACAGACCAAAACTTTGTCATCTCTTCAATTTCTAGTGTGTGTGTGGTTTGGTCAACAGTTTTCAGCCACGTTATTGTGACTCTTTGTCTGCACCTGAACTCAAGAGTTTAGCTAAGTGTTTTGATTGGTCTCTGGACTGTCAGGATTTTTATTCATTCTTCCCTCCAGTGTCTCGAGCGTCTGCTCTTTTTCACTGTCTTCTCTTTTTTGCAACATCATTTGCAATGTGTCAGTCAAGGGTGTGCTTGCGGTGACCCTGTCCTAGTGGAGGGTGTCACGCTCCTTCTCGTGCTTCAGCAAATTTTTCTGGAGCATCACTATATTCTGGATCAATTTGTTCTCTCTATGAGTTCATACATTCTGTTAGATTGCTATGTCCCAGGTTCTCCAGTTGATTTTGAATACTTCTTGCCCAAATCTGTTTTTTTTAGTCATTTTGATGCACACAACATCTGGTAAATACAGAGCATAGATCTAATTCACTAATGATACTAGGCCTACTAATGGGTACAGCTTCAACAACTCACCTATGATGCTACTAAAGGGCATAGCTTCAACAGCTTCCATATAAACGTCTTCAGCATCCTCCTTTTCATCAGCATCCTCCCGACTTCTCTCTGACCTCTCTTCTATGATTCCACTATTTCTCTGCAACACCAAATACTGAGGGAGGCAAATATTTATTTATCTACAATGAACATCAATCCATTTGTATGCACTTTACATGCAAACACTATACATTTCATTACTGTAATCTATGTTAATATTTAGTTGTCTATTTCCTGTTTAATTATATTTACTATTTCTTATATTAAAACTTTATATTTCTTATAAAACTTAAATACAGAAAAACACCTAGATTAAAATAGATAACATTTAACTGGTAAGGACTTTTCTAAAGAACTTAACAGGAAAAAATATTTTCTACAAATAAATCCTATACTGTCATTTTAGTGTCCCTCTGTGCCATTGCTAGCAGTGTGTTTTCTTCAACTAAAAACTATGTGGTAAAGCAAAATTAAATTCTGGTTTAAAAACAATAATAATGAAATTCCCAATGCATTCAATGCTGACAATCCAAAAGCAAAAACTTATTGATTTCAGACAAATATTATGAGATGGTCTGACCATGTTATTAGTTTCAACCTTAAAATTATTATGTAAATTAAGCAATTTAGAACAGCAAGTACAGCACAAATCAGAAAACAGTGTTTTCAAGAAATACTACTTGAGCATGAAACTGTACAAGTGATATAAGTACCGGTATAGATCTTTGGACGGTGAAACTATTTATTATTGTCATATGAACCTAAATTTAATAGCATTAAATGGCCAGGTAAGACTTGCAGTTACAGAAGTAACAAATTAAAAGAAAAAATCTTTTAATAAATATTAATATCATTCAGCTTTTAGATTTGATGAAGAGAATTACTTTCCTGAATTTACCTGACAACCACCATCTCTAGTGGCCTCAACAGGGACAGAAAGCTAGTGGCTTGTCAAAGGTCCCTACATTATTTTTTTTTCAGATGAATTTTTGAAGTACTGTACCTGCACACTGTATATAGTGCAGGTACTATATACAGTGTGAAGGTATATGTGCACATAAGGATGTGCTGTGACTTCACTTGAGAGGATGTGCTGTGACTTACTGTTTAATATTTTCAAAGATTTAAGGGGGTGTACTGTATTACAGAAAAATGCGACAAATGAAAACTGGTTCGATTTCAATCAAACTTTTTTACCTAGTTGTAAATAAAGTTTGGTTCAACTGGCCTAAGTCTCAGCATCATAGCATAAATAGAAAGG